GATGGTTTGTTTGGAATGATTGGCTGTTAATTGATTTAAATCTTTTAATATTTAACAATCGTTTTTTGCAGCATATACAAGCCATTTCTAAAAAGTTTACCTTGATAATCTACAATCATATGTCTTACATGTACATGTACTTTTTTAAAAATTGATTTAAATATTTATTTAACAATTGGTTTTCTTCGCAGCATATACAAGCCATTTCTAATAAGTTTACCTTGATAATCTACAATCATATGTCTTACATGTCCTTTTTTTTAAAAATTGATTTAAATATTTATTTAACAGTTGGTTTTCTTCGCAGCATATACAAGCCATTTCTAATACGTTTACCTTGATAATCTACAATCATATGTCTTACATGTACTTTTTTTTTTTACTGAATATACCATTAATAAAAATAATAGAGAACATTCACCAAATTCGAATAAAAACCCTCCAATGCAAACATACATTCTGTGCCAAGATGTCCTTTCAGTTAAAATCAATCAAGTGACTGTTTTCAACAGTTCAGAGCTCCCAGCCAACAAAGAACAGGATTGACTGGCTGTGACTGCTTATGTAACTTGATACGGCTATGCCTTTACTGTAGGTGATTGATAAGCCAGCTGTGTCTACCACTTGCCTGCTTTTGTCTGTTGACTGAGTTTGACTAGTCACAGTACTCGCTCGAAATATGATCTGACTGTTGGTGACTAGCCTGTGTAAAAGGCATGGCAGGGAAGTGGATGGAGTTTTGACTGTATGTGACTGTTTAAACAGTGAGAGTTACCACATAGGATATAAAGATGTTAAACTTTGTACAAAATTAAATTCCATTATTCCATTTTCATTGACAGTATTGATTAATTAAACAGCTGGTTCATTTGACATCAATTGGTAAATATAAATGATGCTAACAACGGAATGAGCTAATCGTCCTGTCACGGTTTCTGAACATTATAGTCTGGACAATACCTCACCAAATATCTCAGTTTTGTGTTTTTGTGTGGAATTTGTTTCCCACACAAAAGCCACAAGGTGTTGTGGCTTGAGAATTTTGTTTGGGAAGTGTCTCTTTAAAGTGACCTTTAAATGTAACTGACTAACTACTTAAATAATTAATGAAATAACCTAAATACATACATTGTTGCGAGCTTCACTCAAATTTCTGTCTCTCTATCTCACCCATTCATAAAAGTAAACATAAGGAATGTTAAATAAGGTTAAATGTAATTTTTTTTTTTTTTTTTTTTTTTTTTTTAATTTTTTTTTTTTTTTTTTTGTCCGGCATATTTTCATGAAAAGTAACAACTGATACATATTACGAAATTACAAATTGACTGTCAATTGAGTAAGATATAATGTATTTTTTTTTTTTTTTGATTTTTTTTTTTTTTTGATTTTTTTTGTCCGGCAGATATTCATGAAAAGTAACAACTGATACATATTATGAATTTACAAATTGAATGTCAATTGAGTAAGATATGTCTTTTTTTTCTTGTACTATTTTCTCTTTATCATTGTTATGTAAACATTCATGAAATATAAACCTAAGATTATAATAATAATATATAGACATATAAAGCGCACATTCTATCCATCTACTCATGGCGCTGCAGCAATACATGTACAATGATTAACATTGCGAAAACTGAAATCCATTACAAAAAAAACCAAGTTAGACACAGTATGCTTGTGTAAATAGCTGTGTCTTCAGCTCTGTTTTGAATAAGAACTAAGAATTGAAAAGTGAAATCAGATTAAAATCTGAAAACTGACAGTTGATAACTGAAAACTTTTAATCAGTTATTTTAAATTTGACCAAAGACATTGACTAGAGTGGGATCTAATTGTTCCATATAGCAGCCGATATCTTTTTCAACTGTTTAATTACGATACATACATTCATCCAGTCAGTTTACCTTTGTGGTTTTCACTGAGCTATTTTACTACACTACATGACTCAAATGGGATTAGCTCCTAGACTCTTTATCTACAGTAGCAATTGTTGGATTACTTTGTCATCTATTTCACAAAATACTCTTTAGTTTGATGTCTCTGTCGAGAAAAAAATCTGAGCTGTCTTGACTATATAATCGTTGTATAGGAATGTATGCGGTTGCAGGCCACATAATTGTTTCTTGTCCCCTTGCTTTTGTTGAACACCCAGTTGTAGTGTTGACCAGGACAATGTCCAAGTCAGTGGGCAATAGCTCCATGCATATGATCTCAGCAAGGCATGGCCTAATCAGCGGGCAACCAGAAACCCTCAAATGGAACCCTCGGATAAAAAAACATAGCTCAACCACACCCCAGCCAACTAAAGTTCAGAATCCAGTGATTCCTACGTCTTCTATTAAAGTCTGAAGATTACATTCTAATGTCCACTCCACTGGTCAAGAATGCAGTTGGCCATGGCACACATCCTCCTGTTGAAGAATAGTAGTTTAAGGACTTAATTTTGGGGCTGATTGAGGTTTGTTGATCCTAACATAGACTTGAAGAAAAAAAAACATTAAAATTACTGAATTTTATCACGGATATGAATTAACATACAAGCTAAATGTGATTTAATGCACATGAAAACTACTTTATTCAACTTTCAAGAGGGGTTTGTTTATTTGGTGACTTGAAGTAACATCTCTTCTTGAATGTCTACAAAGTGCCTCTTACACCCATGGTACTGGAGTTGCAGAGTTGCACTTAACCAAATTATTCCTTGGATGTTAAGAGAACATTTGTAACAGGAGCTTTGGGCATACAAGGCATTGGGCATACAAGGCATCAAATGCCACTCTATAGTGGAGAATGAATTAATGCATAAAGTTCACTTGTACAATCCCAAAACCAAAGGGTTTTGGTGGATTTGAGTCAGTCCTCACTTTTGGCTGGGCACGACTGTGGAATGCCAGTCTAAAATGAATGTTTGTTGTCAGGCCTTTTCACATTAGAGCATTGATCGCTGGGGCAAATTCACCCTGTGGCCGTCCTGTAACCACAATTATTGACCGTCAAGTTCAACCCCCCCTGCATGCCGTATTTATCTTGCGCAGGGTTAGTTTGCGAACGCTTGACACTCAAAGTTTTCAACCCAGAGTGGCCTTTAGCAACATGCATACGCATTGGCAGCAAGAGACTGTCACACTGACCATGGATGGACTTCATTTTTACATGTATTGAGAAGAATCAAGGGTCTGCTTGTGGTCTACTTACTACAGCCTATTTGCTCTCTGTTGTTGCCTGTTCCTTACCTGCATTTTGCTTAGTTGTCTTGCTGTCTCTCTTGCTGGTCAGCAAGGTTCAGTGCTTCCATTGCACGTACCGGTATATTATCTATTAGGTCATCCAGCAAATTGACTGGCAAGGGATGCCTTTCTTTATCAAATTTTAAGTTATCAAACACTTTTGTGCTTGAATATCCATATTCGTCGTACATGGCACTTATTCTTTCCTCAAAGGTGCGAATGAAATCTTCAGTGGTAAGGACCCATTCTTTTGGGTGAGGAAAATGAAGTTCTTTCGCTTTGTCCTGAGGTACCAGGTGTCCAAATGCATCCCGTACGTTTTGTTCGGCATTTGTAGTATGTGCGCTATCACTTGGATCTTGGTAGAGAATAAATAAGTCTGATGGGGAAGTGTTTGACAATCTGTTTATATCACTGAATACTTGCGTTATACGTATGTTGGGCTTAGATCCGTGTAGGTCAGCTTGGGTAAGCCCAATCTTGCAAAACTTCCATGTAATGTTATCATGGCGCGTAACGTAAGAATCACCATTAACTTCAATGCCATAAATACGAGGTCTTTGTCCCAGACTCGCATATATTTGATCCGGCCGTCCCCAGCTTGGCCGTCCCCTGCTTGGAGGTTTGTTTAGGGACTCTATTAACTTTTTACCATTTCCTCCAGACCAAAACCATCTATTGAAGTCGTCCCGTTGTCCTGTGAGTAATTCACCCCAGTCTTGCCGAGTGTTACTTGCCATGATTTGTTGCCTAGTGTGGGTTATTTTTCCCAGATAGCTGTTCAAAATGGTGTAATGTTAAAAACATGTAGCTAATATCCAGCAGGAAATAGGTCTACAAGTCCGTCTGATAGCTGTGTGGCTGTTGGCTCACTGTGTCCGTCTGGTTTACTGATTCCAAGTGGCGACAAAAACAGGGTGTTGTCTCCTTTTATCAGAGCTGAGCGCACACTTATGTGTGCATAATGCATATAGTAATATACCCACACATTTCAAATTGAAAGCAAGTGAACCGTGCACTTTTGGAAGCTGATTGCAACGTTTCTGAACAAAGGTATTGGTTTTTTTTTACTTTCATAAATGTACTTGACAGTGTAAAATGGACCAGTTGATTCTTCAAAATAGGGGAGTACACTCCAGCATCAAAGCCTATGAATATTCTTTCTCCCATCTATAGTATAATTTCATTGTACTAACTGGATTCATATCCTAAGCTTTGTTTGCTCTATTTAGATAAAATCACTTGCACTTTTAAGGACACTTTTTTTGTGGTGTTTGCTCATTCTTTTTTGAAGGTTTTATTCCGGGACCCCTAATAAGGAGACTAGTTCATTGATAAGTGACAGGGCGGCCCCACTCCAAGTAAAATAACATTGAATAAGTAAATGAATAGAAAGCAAACAGCATGCTAGTCCTCGCTATTAGAGTAATGGTTGGAGCTTTTTTAATTCTCAGGGAAATGTTTATGAGTTTCCTTAATTTATAAGCTGAATTTCAGAGCTTTCAGAAGATTATTTGGGAGGGACCTGAACCCGGGACCACCTGCTTACAATATGTACAGACGTCCATTCAGCTTGCAATTTCAATTTCATATCAGTTTCACATTATATTAAAAGGTTCAGTTATTTAATTGACTATGAATTCAGGGTCATATTGAGATCAATTTGGTGCGACGTAAAAGAACCAACATGTAAAGGTCAATGTAGTGAGAAAATGAAACTCACAAACTAATTTAAGGATCTTTTTTCTTTTTCTTAATAATTTTTTTTACAGGGTGAAAGAGCTACCTTCTGTTCATCCCCAAATAGGAAAATACACTCGTCCTGACAAACCGTCCCCTCTGACTTTGGAAAGCATACTGCCTGAATGTGGAGTAAAGGTGAGATTCCCTTTGGCTTTATCTTTCTCCCTCAGTTTTTCTATAAGTTGGTGGTTGTTCCCACGGAGAGGTTGTTACCAAATTGAATAGGTGGTATTCAGTGGAAAGTCAGTTCTGGGCGTTCCAAGGCTTCAATCATCTGCTTCATCACGCCTATTCATAGGGAAATGACATGCAGTTTTTTTCTACAAACATCCCACGCATTCTGATTCTATGGCATTTTATTTATTTATTTTTTTTTGGGGGGGGGGAATTTCTTGCAATAAAAAACTTCCACCGTCAACAAGGAAGCTAGTAGCAAATGATAATATACAGACCTGATACTGGACTGTGGGAAAAAATAAACCCTGGATTTCTGAATAGGACAAGAACTAGTTCCTCCTCGGAGCATTTATATAAGCACCATATTACCATATTGATCTACTGTTTCATTCTGACTTAACCACAAAAAGGAGGGAAATGAATATGTGACAGTTTCCATGTTTTCATTCAGTGGAAAATTTGCTGTGTTATGCGTTGTACATTTTGGTGTTTGGCTTTGCACTAAATTCACAGATAAATAGTTTTGAATAGTTTGTACTTTTTGTCTGAAAAAGGAAAACTTAAACAATAAAATACATGAAGGTGTGACTTAATGCTGTGCATTTTCGAATATTTTGTATTTGGTTATTCAAACTTGGATTTGATCAAATATTCGCTACAAACCAATCAAATTTTACATGCGTCATGCGCCAGCCTAAATTGAATGCGCCGGTCGGAAATTAAATGGTCATTTCACTACCTATTCTGTATATTACTTTAGATCTTTGTCATTCTTCGACAACTACAGGAGCACGCGAATACCTGATCAGTGGTCAGCCTAGCCTAGTGCATGTTAAACTTGATTAGCCCATTTCGAATATGTGATCAAGTCCATGAATAATCAAATACTAAATCATTAAAAACATCACAGCCCTATAATATCCTGACCTTTCATTCCATATTTGGTTTTCTTTGTCAATGCACACGTTTTTCTCCCTTTGTATTAACAGGAAGCCAAGGGTTTGAGTTCCTTCTGGACAAACTACGGAAAGTTTCTACCGAGTCTGGAATGAGGAAATATCCGTCGTGTCCGCCAACAAGATGAAAATGAAGAGTGTTTCATGACAGCTCTTTCTGCTCGCTGATTTGTCGGGCAAACAACTAACCCATCCACTCTCACTGCAATTTGGAAATCTTTCAATATTCAAACCCTTTTCCCCTGACTTGAGCTTTTGCATCATAAATGATTTGCAAATGTCAGACTAGGAGGTTTTTTCTTATTATTATAGTTATTTGTTTCTTGAAATGAATTGAAGTGGATTCTCCACTGGCACTTGTATAACTAACTGTACAGGGCGAGTCAAAAAGTGAGTGACCGAGTTAGAACTAGCAAGCACTCAGAGAACGCAAACCTCCATTAAGGCTTAACAATTCTCTGCCGTATTGTCAGTACACCTAAAAGAAATACTGGCAATGGTGAAGATTCCTGTGAAAAAAATCCTGGATCCAGATCACTTCCAAAGTCTAATCGATCTGTACTTTGCAGCAAGGACCACCTTAAAAAGTTTGTTTTGCAAATCCATCCATAACTTTTTGAGTTTCCTTGTTAACAGACAAACCAACCAACCAACAAATTAATCAAACCCGATGAAAGCATAACCTCCTTGGCGGTGGTACATGTAATAAATGCAAAACATACGTTGCTCACTCTGTTTGATAAAATAATATGATGTTGTTTACTAGTAGCTGTGAAGATTTCAGGTGCTATGCGTACTCTATTCACAAGTTGTTTGTGTTTTAATACAAATATCCCAAAATACAGCTGTCCACCACTGGTCATTTACCGATACGCATTGATGATTCCCCTTTTTATGTAGGCCTACAATAAGCCATGGAGGTTTTCCTACTCTACATGAATGAATGAAAACTTGTAAAGGAAAGAAACAAAAATCACCATCATCGTTTCAGAAAAAGACTTGATGTGTTCTTTATATACAAAACACAAAATCTGACAGTGAAATAATGTCTGAGTTTTGACACAAATTATTACAATCTCATTTGTATTTGAATGCCCAAATGTAATCTCTGGTTCTAACTCAGCTGAATAGCTTCAGAATGGCATTCCATGGACAGGTATAAAAATGGGTTATTTTAGTAAAACATGCGTAACTGCTGATTGCATGGATCTATGCCAGTAATTCTCTCTTTTTTAGATAAGGGGAAGAACATGCTCTTTTAAAACATGCTTTATTGTTTGTTTTTTTGTCAAACTTAATCGTTGTAAGGAAAAGAAATCATCAGTGAAGGTCACTTTATGTTTGGCACACCCAGTGGAGAAAGCTGAAGAGTGAAATGTTCTATTTTAGAGGCGGAAGTAAAACCCCATTAATTGTTTTGTGGAAATCAGTGGACCAGGTCGAGACGGAAAGCCTCAATTCACAAGTGGGCCTTGGTGGGATTTGAACCTAGGCCATCCAGTTGAAAGGTTAGGAAAGTTGCACTGCATTAACCTGCACTCCTGGCATTTAGCTTAGAAGGTTTTTTTTATTAGCTTTTGTTTTAAACTTGGCATTTGCCATATGAATTTCATATACATGTAGTTACTTTCATTGATTTTGTTAAAAGTTGAACTAAGAAATTGACTGTGATGGGTTTGAACCTGTGACCTCCGGGTTACTGTTCCAGTGCTCTACCAGATGAGCTATCCATCGCTATGTTAGCAGTTCCCCTTTTCATCAGTGTCTTTGTTCAAGCATTAGTGGAACACCGGAACAGCAATCTAAAGGTTACAGGTTCAAACCTATAGTCTGAGTATCACCCGTTATCCTCAGAGCCAAGTCTCTTGTATAAAAGTCTAATTCATCAAAGTATGCAGATTTATGCAATCACGTGGCTCAGCCAATCGGAGTCGACTTTACTAAATCATGACGTCATTTCATTCCCAAATCAGACTAAATGGTGTGATTGGTCAATTCAAATGCAGTGTTTTGTAATACAACAATTTGTAATACAACAGCCCGGCGCCTATCGCGTAACATGATACAGAGCGCATGACCACAGCCTTTGTTGCAGTGTCCAGGGTATTTTTTTATTCATGTCTATGACGCAACAACGTTGAATGACCAAACATCCGATATAGAAAGCGCCCGCTGATTGGTCAAAATCGGAGGTCAATGCCATGGTCTATGTAGTTCAAACCCCCCTCCAGTCAATTTCTTTCTTCAACTTTAAACAATTATTATAACGCACCTAGTAGTTCTCTTTATGGTTTAATTGAATCCTTCTTATTTATGGAAAATACATATTATCCAAGGATAAATCCACTACAGTAAAATGGATAAGAAAAAATTTGAGGGGGAAAAGACAAAAAGGATCACTGAAGGGTGAAGTTAAGGTTTTTGTTGAATCGGATGAATTTGGAAGAGTATAAACATATGAATCTGATTAATTTAAAAAGTATAAAAGTGTTTTAGTCAGACGAGTTTTAACACTCTCATCGTAATTAAAGCTGAGTGGAATGGAACATTCCATAGGTCACTGAATGAAATTATTCTTTCCATTGCCAGAATGTGAAACATTTTTGTTTTATACAAATGCCTCAATAAATCATTGTCATCTGATTGGTTACTTGCAAACTGGTACTATATGAATGTACAGCATCAGAGCCATCAGAGCTGTGTTTATAGCGCAACCAGTAGTGTGACCTTTGACCTTGCAATGGAAGTTCTATTTAGTGGAACTTCTATTTTGGAGTGTGACTGCGCAATTCGTTGGAACGAATAATTCAATGACGTGATCAACGACCCATCAATAAGATTATGGGGATTTATTCGTGCAGTATGAAATATCCTACTTGATTGCAAGTAACTAAATGTGATGATTTAAGCATCCTGTGAAATCGCAGCTCCTGGTATGCTGTCATCTTCAAGAAAAGATAACTAGCTTCCTTGTTGACGGTGGAACTCTTTTAGTTTGACAAACACTCCCCTCTAACATTGGAAAGCATACTTCTGAATGTGGAGTAAAGGTGAGATTCCCTCTGGCTTTATATTTCTCCCTCAGTTTCTCTATAAGTTGGTGGTTGTTCCCACGGAAAGGTTGTTACCAAATTGAATAGGTGTTATTCAGTGGAAAGTCAGTTCTGGGCGTCCCAAGGCTTCAATCATCTTTTTTTAATACGCCTATTCATAGGGAAATGACATGCAGTTTTTTTTCTTCAAACGTCCCGTGCATTCTGATTCTATGGCTTTTTTTGGGGGGGGGGGGATTTCTGGCAATAAAAGAGTTCCACCGTCAACAAGGAAGCTAGTAGCAAATGATTTTATACAGACCTCGGCCTGCTGGACTGTGTAGAAAAAATAAACCCTGGATTTCTGTTGAAAAGGACAAGAAATAGTTCCTCCTCAGAGCATTATACAGGGTGGATAAGAAAAAACGAAACCGAGATATTATTGCTAATTTGAACAGAAGTAGGGCACATGTGAATCAAAGAGAGATATCATCTGTTAGGGTTGAATCTTTTCTTTTAAATGACACCCTGGTCATATCATTACATTCACGGTTGACTGAGCAGTGACCAATTTTATGAAAGGGTCTATTTAGAGACTTGCGCCACTTTTCAATGTGGTTTTTGTTGTGTCAATTGTCACAGAGTGAAAGGCTATGGTTTCCAATCAAGGCAGGTGGGGGAAAAAAAGAGATTTCACCATGAAAAGTGGCGCAAGTCTCTAAATAGAACCTTTCATGAAATTGGTCACTGCCCAGACAGCCGTGAATGTAAGGACATGATCAGGGTGTCATTTTAAAGAGGAGATTCAACCGTCACAGAGGATATCTCCCTTTGATTCACATGTGCCCTACTTCTGTTCCAATTAGCAATAATATCTCGGTTTCGGTTTTTTTTTATCCAGCCTGTACATAGCTCCATAATGACCACATTGATCTAATGTTTCATTTTGACTTAACCAAAGCAAATGAAGGAAATGAAAACGTGACAAATTCCTTGTTTTCCTTCAGCAGAAAATTTGCTGTGTTATGCGATGTACATTTTGATATTGGTTTTGCACTTGACTGATCGATTGTTTTATAAACAGTGTACATGGTGCTTTTTGAGAGTTTATGCAACAAAGAAAAAAAAATAGAGAACATTTTGGTGGGACTTAGTGCTCAGTATGTTGACTGTTTTGGTATTCAGTTATTCAAAGTTGGATTTGATCGAATATTCACAAAGTATCAAGCTAATTTTACGTGTGTCATGTGCCAGTCTAAATTGAATGTGCCAGTCGGAAACTAAATGGCCTGCCAATTTTCTTTTACAAAGTTCCACTCTCCTGAAGACGGTCAGAGCATACTGACCGGAACGTCGAGTTTATACCTCTGGTTCTTTTCAGAACCATTCTCTTAGTTTAGAAATTATTCGCACATGGTGTTTCCGCAAACCTTTCATTCAAAGTTGCACTGCATTAACCTGCACTCCTGGCTATTAGTTGAGAAGGTTTCTGTATTAAAATTGACAGTTGCCGTACGAATTACATATAGTTACTTTCAATTATTCTTTTTAAAGTTGAACAAAGAAGTTGACTGTAGTGAGTTTGAACCCACGACATCTGGATTGCTGTTCCAGTGCTCTACCAACCATCAAGTCCTATGTTAGCAGGTCCCCAATTTATCAGTGTCTTTGTTCAAGCACCGGTAGAGCACCGGAACGGCAATCTGGAGGTTAAAGGTTCAAACCCTCACTCAAGTCAACTTCTTTGTTCAACTTTAAAAATTATTATGACTGTACCTAGTCAGTTTCTCTTTGTCCTTTATTTGAATACTTTTTGTTGATGGAAGTCAAACATTACCCAAGTCACACATTTATGGAATTCACACATTTATGGAATTCACACATTTATGGAAGTCACACATTACCCAAGGATAAATCCACTACAGTAAAATGGATAAGAAGAAATTTGAGGAGGAAAAGACAAAAAGGATCACTGAAGGGTGAAGTTAAGGTTTTCCTTGAATCGGATGAATTTGGAAGAGTATAAACATATGAATTTGATTAATTTAAAAAAGTATAAAAGTGTTTTAGTCAGACCAGTTTTAACACTCTCATCGTAATTAAAGCTGAGTGGAATGGAACATTCCATAGGTCACTGAATGAAATTATTCTTTCCATTGCCAGAATGTGAAACATTTTTGTTTTATACAAATGCCTCAATAAATCATTGTCATCTGATTGGTTACTTGCAAACTGGTACTATATGAATGTACAGCATCAGAGCTGTGTTTATAGCGCAACCAGTAGTGTGACCTTTGACCTTGCAATGGAAGTTCTATTTAGTGGAACTTCTATTTTGGAGTGTGGCTGCGCAATTTGTTGGAACGAATAATTAAATGACGTGATCAACGACCCATCAATAAGATTATGGGGATTTATTCGTGCAGTATGAAATACCCTACTTGATTGTAAGTAACTAATGTGATTATTTAAGCATCCTGTGAAATCGCAGCTCCTGGTATGCTGTCATTTTCAAGAAAAGATAACTAGCTTCCTTGTTGACGGTGGAACTCTTTTATTTTGACAAACCCTTCCCTGTAACATTGGAAAGCATACTTCCTGAATGTGGAGTAAAGGTGAGATTCCCTCTGGCTTTATATTTCTCCCTCAGTTTCTCTATAAGTTGGTGGTTGTTCACACGGAAAGGTTGTTACCAAATTGAATAGGTGGTATTCAGTGGAAAGTCAGTTCTGGGCATTCCAAGTTTAGTCCGCTTTATTACGCCTATTCATAGGAAAATGACATGCAGTTTTTTCTTCAAACATCCCACCCCCTCGATTCTATGGCATTTTTTTTGGGGGGGGGGAATTTCTGGCAATAAAAGAGTTCCACCGTCAACAAGGAAGCTAGTAGCAAATGATTTTATACAGACCTCGGCCTGCTGGACTGTGTAGAAAAAATAAACCCTGGATTTCTGTTGAATAGGACAAGAAATAGTTCCTTCTCAGAGCATTATATATATAGCTCCATATGACCACATTGATCTACTGTTTCATTCTGACTTTACCACAAAAAAAAGAAGGAAATGAAAAACTTAAAGTTTCCTAGTTTTCATTCAGTGGAAAATTTGCCGTGTTATGCGATGTACATTTTGGTATTTGGTTTTGCACTTGACTGATAAATTGTTTTAAGAACAGTGTACTGAATGCTTTTTGAGAGCCTATGCAACAGAGAAAAAAATAGAGAACATTTGGGTGGGACTTAATGCTCAGTATGTTTGACTGTTTCGGTATTCAGTTATTCAAAGTTGGATTTGATTGAATATTCACAACATACCAATCAAATTTTTAGATGTGCCATACACCAGCCGAAATGGAATGCATCAGTTGCTAATGGTCACCCAATTTTCTTTTTTAAAAATTGGTTAAATATCAGTCATTTCACTACCTCTTCTTTACAGTACTTATATCTTTGTCATTCTTCAACAACTTCAGGAGCACGCGAATACCTGATCAGTGACCAGTTAAAGGGAAGATACCACATTTGCAATCATCAAAAAACAAAATGATCAAATTATCACGAAATTCTTTAATGGACTGTTAGGGAATGACAGTCTAAAACATCCTGTAAAATCATGGCACCTGGTGTGCTGACATTTTAAAGTAAAGTGGTATTTTTGTATCAATTTCCAACGCTGGTTGGCCTACCAGCATTGGTTGGTTTTCTTTGTTCTTCCAGCATCTAGGAACCCAAAACATGAAACAAGCCAATGTAACAATATTTGCAATAACATACTATTCCCTCCAAATCCATTTATTTCTGAAAATTACAGCAAAAGCAAATCCTGTACATTCCCTTTAAGGCTGGCGCATGTTAAACTTGATTAGCCCATTTTGAGTATTTTGATCAAGTCCATGAATAATCAAATACTAAATTACAAAAAATCACAGCCCTATAATATCCTGATTTTTTTATTCCATATTTGGTTTTCCTTGTCACTGCACACATTTTTCTTCCTTTGTATTTACAGGAAGCCAAGGGTTTGAGTTCCTTCTGGACAAACTACGGAAAGTTTCTACCGAGTCTGGAATGAGGAAATATCCGTCATGTCTGCCAACAAGATGAAAATGAAGAGTGTTTCATGACAGCACTTTCTACTCCCTGATTTGTCGGGCACACAACTGACCCATCCACACTCACTGCAATTTGGAAATCTTTCAATATTCAAACCCTTTTCCCCTGACTTGAGCTTTTGCATCATAAATGATTTGCAAATGTCAGACTAGGAGGTTTTTTCTTATTATTATAGTTATTTGTTTCTTGAAATGAATTGAAGTGGATTCTCCACTGGCACTTGTGTAACTAACTGTACAGGGTGAGTCAAAAAGTGAGAGACCAAGTTAGAACTAGCAAGCACGCAGAGAACGCAAACCTCCATTAAGGCTTAACAATTCTCTGCCGTATTGTCAGTACACCTAAAAGAAATACTGGCAATAATGGTGAAGATTCCTGTGAAAAAAAATCCTGGATCGAGATCACTTCCAAAGTCTAATCGATCTGTACTTTGCAGCAAGGACCACCTTAAAAAGTTTGTTTTGCAAATCCATCCATAACTTTTTGAGTTTCCTTGTTAACAGACAAACCAACCAACCAACAAATTAATCAAACCCGATGAAAGCATAACCTCCTTGTTGGTGGTATATGTAATAAATGCAAAACGTATGTTGCTCGCTCTATTTGATAAATATAACAGGATGTTGTTTACTGGTAGCTGTGAAGATTTCAAGTGCTATGGGTACTCTATTCACAAGTTATTTCTGTTTTAATACATATATACCAAAATGCAGCTGTCCACTACTTATCATTAACGATACGCATTGATGATTCCCCTTTTTATGTAGGCCTACAATAAGCCATGGAGGTTTTCCTACTCTACATGAATGAATGAAAACTTGTAAAGGAAAGAAACAAAAATCACCATCATCGTTTCAGAAAAAGACTTGATGTGTTCTTTATATACAAAACACAAAATCTGAGAGTGAAATAATGTCTGAGTTTTGACACAAATTATTACAATCTCATTTGTATTTGAACGCCCAAATGTAATCTCTGGTTCTAACTCAGCTGAATAGCTTCAGAATGGCATTCCATGGACAGGTATAAAAATGGGTTATTTTAGTAAAACATGCGTAACTGCTGATTGCATGGATCTATGCCAGTAATTCTCTCTTTTTTAGATAAGGGGAAGAACATGCTCTTTTAAAACATGCTTTATTGGGTTTTTTTGTGTCAAACTTAATCGTTGTAAGGAAAAAAATCATCAGTGAAGGTCACTTTATGTTTGGCACACCCAGTGGAGAAAGCTGAAGAGTGAAATGTTCTATTTAAGAGGCGGAAGTAAAACCCCATTAATTGTTTTGTGGAAATCAGTGGATCAGATCGAGACGGAAAGCCTCAATTCACAAGTGGGCCTTGGTGGGATTTGAACCTAGGCCATCCAGTTGAAAGGTTAGAAAAGTTGCACTGCATTAACCTGCACTCCTGGCATTTAGCTTAGAAGTTTTTTTAGTAGCTTTTGTTTTAAACTTGGCATTTGCCATATGAATTTCATAAACATGTAGTTACTTTCATTGATTTCGTTAAAAGTTGAACTAAGAAATTGACTGTGATGGATTTGAACCTGCGACATCCGGGTTACTGTCCAGTGCTCTACCAGATGAGCTATCCATCCCTATGTTAGCAGTTCCCCTTTTCATCAGTGTCTTTGTTCAAGCATTAGTGGAACACCGGAACAGCAATCTAAAGGTTACAGGTTCAAACCTATAGTCTGAGTATCACCCGTTATCCTCAGAGTCAAGTCTCTTGTATAAAAGTCTAATTCATCAAAGTATGCAGATTTATGCAATCACGTGGCTCAGCCAATCGGAGTCGACTTTACTAAATCATGACGTCATTTCATTCCCAAATCAGACTAAATGGTGTGATTGGTCAATTCAAATGCAGTGTTTTGTAATACAACAATTTGTAATACAACAGCCCGGCGCCTATCTCGTAACATGATACAGAGCGCATGACCACAGCCTTTGTTGCAGTGTCCAGGGTATTTTTTTATTCATGTCTATGACGCAACAACGTTGAATGACCAAACATCCGATATAGAAAGCGCCCGCTGATTGGTCAAAATCGGAGGTCAATGCCATGGTCTATGTAGTTCAAACCCCCCGCTCCAGTCAATTTCTTTCTTCAACTTTAAACAATTATTATAACGCACCTAGTAGTTATCTTTATGGTTTAATTGAATCATTCTTATTTATGGAAGTTACATATTACCCAAGGATAAATCCACTACAGTAAAATGGATAAGAAAAAATTTGAGGGGGGAAAGGCAAAAAGGATCACTGAAGGGTGAAGTTAAGGTTTTTGTTGAATCGGATGAATTTGGAAGAGTATAAACATATGAATCTGATTAATTTAAAAAAGTATAAAAGTGTTTTAGTCAGACCAGTTTTAACACTCTCATCGTAATTAAAGCTGAGTGGAATGGAACATTCCATAGGTCACTGAATGAAATTATTCTTTCCATTGCCAGAATGTGAAACATTTTTGTTTTACACAAATGCCTGAATAAATCCTCATCTGATTGGTAACTTGTAAACTGGTACTATATGAATGTACAGCATCAGAGCCATCAGAGCTGTGTTTATAGCGCAACCAGTAGTGTGACCTTTGACCATGCAATGGAAGTTCTATTTGGTGGAATTTCTATTTTGGGGTGTGGCTGCGCAATTTGTTGGAACGAATAATTCAATGACGTGATCAACGACCCATCAATAAGATTATGGGGATTTATTCGTGCAGTATGAAATATCCTACTTGATTGTAAGTAACTAAATGTGAAAATTTAAGCATCCTGTGAAATCGAAGCTCCTGGTATGCTGTCATCTTCAAGAAAAGATAACTAGCTTCCTTGTTGACGGTGGAACCCTTTTATTTTGACAAACACTCCCCTCTAACATTGGACAGCATACTTCTGAATGTGGAGTAAAGGTGAGATTCCCTCTGGCTTTATATTTCTTCTTCAGTTTTTCTATAAGTTGGTGGTTGTTCCCACGAAAAGGTTGTTACCAAATTGAATAGGTGGTATTCAGTGGAAAGTCGGTTCTGGGCATTCCAAGTTTAGTCCGCTTTCAAGTTATTATGCCTATTCATAGGGAAATGACGTGCAGTTTTTTCTTCAAACATCCCACGCATTCTGATTCTATTGGATTTTTTTTGGGGGGGGGGGAATTTCTGGCAATAAAAGAGTTCCACCGTCAACAAGGAAGCTAGTAGCAAATGATTTTATACAGACCTCGGCCTGCTGGACTGTGTAGAAAAAATAAACCCTGGATTTCTGTTGAAAAGGACAAGAAATAGTTCCTCCTCAGAGCATTATATATATAGCTCCATATGACCACATTGATCTACTGTTTCATTCCGACTTTACCACAAAAGAAGAAGGAAATGAAAAACTTGATATTTTCCTAGTTTTCATTCAGTGGAAAGTTTGCCGTGTTATGCGATGTACATTTTGGTATTTGGTTTTTCACTTGACTGATAAATTGTTTTAAGTACTGAATGCTTTTTGAGAGCTTATGCAAAAAAAAAAAAATAGAGAACATTTGGGTGGGACTTAATGCTCAGTATGTTTGACTGTTTCGGTATTCAGTTATTCAAAGTTAGATTTGATTGAATATTCACAACATAACAATCAAAGTTTTAGATGTGCCATACACCAGCCGAAATAGAATGCATCAGTTGGTAATGGTCTCCCAATTTTCTTTTTAAAAAAATGGTTAAATATCAGTCATTTCACTACCTCTTCTTTACAGTACTTAGGCCTATATCTTTGTCATTCTTCGACAACTTCAGGAGCACGCGAATACCTGATCAGTGACCAGTTAAAGGGAAGATACCACATTTGCAATCATCAAAAAACAAAATGATCAAATTATCACGAAATTCTTTACTGGACTGTTAGGGAATGACAGTCTAAAACATCCCGTAAAATCATTGCACCTGGTGTGCTGACATTTTAAAGTAAAGTGGTATTTTTGTATCAATTTCCAACGCTGGTTGGCCAACCAGCATTGGAGAAAACTGGATTTTTTCAATTCTGCTCCTTGTTTTTTTATATTTAATTGTTCCGCATTTGCTTTCCAATTGATTACACACCCGTGAAGGGGTACAAGCCTTCTAGACTGATTCTCTGACCTTACATTTCCCCATAGACAATAAATTGCTCCGCTTCATCTTAAGTGGGGTCAGGGAATCAGACTACAAGAACATTCTTTGTTCTTCCAGCATCTACGAACCCAAAACACGAAACAAGCCAATGTAACGATATTTGCTATAACATATTTTTCCCTCCAAATCCATTTATTTCTGAAAATTACAGCAAAAGCAAATCCTGTACATTCCCTTTAAGGCTGGCGCATGTTAAACTTGATTAGCCCATTTTGAGTATTTTGATCAAGTCCACGAATAATCAAATACTAAATTATACAAACAATTCACAGCCTTACAATATCCTGATTTTATATTCCATATTTGGTTTTCCTTGTCACTGCACACATTTTTCTTCCTTTGTATTAACAGGAAGCTAAGGGTTTGAGTTCAGTAGTGGAGGTAGTCTTCTTAACACAATTTGACCTTGGGCCTAGAAATAGGTAAAGGTCACATAAATATGTAAATATGGAAATATGTAGATATAAATATGAATTAATGGGATTCTGAAATTCCGGGCACAGTTTGACCTAATGAATGGATGGGATGAATAGGGAATAGGTGTGGGTATAAGGAACCGGGTACAGTTTGACCTATTCTATGGGAAAGATTGCATAAGGTATGGAAAAATATTACAATTTTAGGAGAATATGTATCTACATGTAATTGCAACTGAGTGGTGCAATGTGAAAGTACAGCTGGTCGGATCTTTAATCCCCCCAACAATAGACGGGAAGTGGTGTTGTTGTATAACTGTCCATGTGGTCGGTGGACTATGGATTGGTGGTTAATCCGATCGATTGCGCACGAGCCTAGTGGGCTGTCGGCACGTTATGTGGGATTAATACCGGACAATGGGCTGTAAATGGTGCGCGAATTGGAGGACAGTGTACTACCGATCTCCGAAGTGAATTTCTTGCGACGGCACAATCCTTATAAAGTTAGGGAATTTTAGAATAAAAAAAATCATCGTTCTGAAACAACATCAACATGTCTAACAGAAAGCGAAAACGGTCGGAAACACCTCCACTAGTTGAATTAGCTGAAACAAGCAATCGTTTTTCTCGATTAAATTATCTGGCTTCTGAGATAACGGAGAAACAATTGAGCAAACTGGCGTCTAATCTTTTAAAAGAAAACGATCACGTAGCTACACGATTTGGAGGTCGACCGTGGGAAGAGCTTGTTTCCTTTCTCGGTTTGTCGGCTGCAGATATTTATAAACACCGTCAAGAGAATATGTTTAACGACTGGGCTCAAATTTTTTATTCTTTTATTCAGTGGAAGCATCGTTACTATAAAAATGCCACGATCGAAAAAATAATAATAGGGTGTCAACAGTGTAATATTACTCATAGCGCGTACGACTTTTTGTACCCAAAGTAAAGGTATTTGAAGGGAAAAATATCGTATTTTCGTTTGAACCACCCACGGCGTGAGATCAAGTCAGCTGTGCGTGGAAAGTGCGGTGATTGCACAACATCTTTTCAATGGAAGAAATGGAAGAAATAATCCATTTTTATTGATCTGACATGATCCTATATGCCGTCATAATCTATTTTTTAGGGATGTCGTCACAATCTATTTTTAACCTCTGCGTTTCACAAGATTGCACAATACCTTCTCCTAAAAGGGTATAAAAGCGCGTGGAACGGAGAAAGAATATCTTACTTGGCGTACAGCACTAAAAGAGGTTGAAGGGGATAAATAGAGCGCTCACGGTCATCCGACAACATCAACGTATACACAACCTGAAAGAAAAAGACAAGATGGCTGCACCGAAGAATTTCTACACTCCACCTACCTCATCATCATCTTCGTCGTTACAGTACGACGCTGCTGGTAGCCGAAACGAAGTACGCGAGTATTACCCTTCCCACGCACAAGCACAGCCCAAGGGGTTAGCCGGTACCGACCCCAAACGACTTGAGCGACTAGAGCAGCGTATGATGACCCGTGCTGAAGATGGAAGTGCACCGTACCCGAATGCCGCCCCAAACAAGAGCCGTCGCGCAGAGATGAACCCATCCGCCAGGTTCGAGCTTACGGGAGTCCGCCACGCCGTGGTAGAACCTTTCCAGGGACAAATTTACATTAAGATTCGGGAGTTCGTTCAAAAGAAAGATAGAGACTTCTGGAGCAGTCCACGAGGCATCAACCTGAGGGTGAACGAATGGAAGAAACTCGTGGAATTGATGCCCGCCATCACCGAAGCTGTTGAAGAACTGGAGGTGAGCATAAATCATAGTCGTTCTTCCGGATTGTTTACCTCCGTTCATCACACATGCAGTTGGCTTCCATTCCAAATACAGTACGTTAAATGTTAATGAACTTTTTTTTTCAAATTTTTTTTTTTTTTTTTTAATTAAGAATCAAGGAAGCAAGAAGATGAAACGTGACGGCGATGCTCAGAGTGATGAGGCTACGCCGGATCCGGAAGATGGCTTTCCATGGGGGTATACGGGTGACGCTGTACCATACACCAAGCCCAGCGGGACACCGGAGGAGCAGAAGGAACGCGAGGCCTGTAAAGACCTTGCATTTAACATAATTCAGTCGATATTCGTTCCTTGCATTCTCAAGAAAGTAGATGAAATGTGTAGCGAGCAATGTTATGGATGTAATCTACCAATAGCCGAAGACTTCACCCAGAAAAATCACGAATGTTTGATGTTGGACGTGTCTGATAAGGTAGAGAGGTACTTTGATAAAGCGGTAGATGACATTTTGGAAACAGGTTTAGGAAAGTGCAGATTGGAGTGGAATACAACCGCTAAAGAGAACAAACGCATTGTCTCACAGTATTCGACTATTCACGCCAGAAATCGTCTTTTTACCAAGTATGTCGATATGCATGTCAAAAAGAGGGTCGAAGAACCTGAAAACGGAAGGGCAGTGTTGTATAATATTTGTCACATCGATGGATAGTCCCAACAACATGTTGGATTCAACCGAATTATTAATGTATATTTACCTGATGTCTCTTTGCTGACTCGATTTTTTATTTTTTGCTTCGTTTGTTTGTTTGTTTGTTTGTTTGTTTTTTAAATTGTTTATTTAACTATCATAAAGTTGTGTGTATGTGTGTAAAGATTTCATCCGTAACAAAACCAAAAAGTTAAAATTTGATATATTAATTTAATTGTGTGAAAAGTGTTAGAAAAAAAAGAAAAAAACTTTGTAAAAAAAAACTTTGAAAAAAAAAAAAAAAAAAACAAAAAAAAAAAACAACTTTGTAAAAAAAAAAACTTTGTAAAAAAAAAAAAACTTTGAAAAAAAAAACAACAACTTTGTAAAAAAAAAAAAAACTTTGGAAAAAAAAAAAAAAAAAAAAAAAAAAAAAAAGGATTGTATTTAATAAATAAAAATGTGACATGTATTTTATTCTTGCACGTTTGGTTTGAAAATAAAATGAAGGAAAGAAAATATATTAATTTGTGTATGTGTGATTAATGCCTTGTAATGATAGAATAAAATAAGGGGTTATAACGGGATAGGGTCATAGTTAGTTTGGGATTGAACGAGTCAACATCATGGGGGAAAGCAAAGCACGGGTGGATTACTTAAAAACGTTGTATTACGATATTGAAAATGAAACGGGATTGAGTAGCGTGGAAAAACTTTATAAAAGAGCTAAAGCCGAGAGAGTGTTTCAGTTGTCTCGTAAACAAATAAAAGAGTTTTTACAAACCCAGGATGCGTATACTTTACATAAACAAATTAAACGAACGTTTCCAAGGAATCGCGTTCTCGCTATAGCTATTGATGAAATATGGCAAATTGACTTATGCGATGTTCAAAAACTATCGAGTTCCAATAAGGGATACAAATATATTCTGACTTGCATCGATGTATTTTCGAAGTTTGCGTGGGCAAAACCTTTGAAAAATAAAAAAAGTAAAACGATACTAGAAGCATTCCGATCTATAATAAATAGTCAAAAGAGGGCGCCTCTCAAAGTACAATCGGATGAGGGGAAGGAATTTTTGAATCAGGACTTTCAACGTTTTCTTAAACAAAATGGTATTGATTTTTTTACGGTAAAAAACGAAACAAAGGCCAGCGTAGTAGAGAGGTTTAACAGAACGCTTAAGACTAAGATGTGGAAATATTTTTCGTATCGCAATACCCTCAAGTATATCGATGTGTTGCAAAAGTTAATGACGTCGTATAATAATTCTACTCATCGGTCAATACGCATGAAACCCAGTGAAGTGACTGAGGAGAATGACGGGCAGGTGTGGAAAGCTTTATATGCTGACGTCAGACGCGCGCGCAAACCAAGGTATAAATTTAACGTGGGAGACAAAGTACGGATCAGTATAGCGGCCAGAGTATTTCGAAAAGGATATTTGCCTAAATGGTCCGAGGAGATATTTACCGTAGCCGAACGCAGAGGGCGACAAGTAAGACCGATATACAAATTAAAAGATTATGCAAATGAACTCATTAGTGGGTTTTTTTACACCGAGGAGATGCAAAAAGTCTCTAAACATGATCATGATACGTACAAAGTGGAAAAAGTAATTCGAAAGAGAATTAAAAATGGTCAAAAGGAATATTTTGTCAAATGGTTTGGATATCCATCCAAATTCAACAGTTGGGTGACAAAACTGTATTAATAAGGATGACGAGGCACTCTCCTCGCAGTAGCTCATTAAATGTAAATCATGACGGTGGAACAATTTTATCTAACGCTTCCAAGCAACGCTTCTCTCTCTGTGTATCCTAATAATATACTATCGGATTTCACGACCAGGCTGTTTAACCCGATTCAATTACACGGTACATGGGAAGTTGGTCTTAGCGAAATACAGTACCCTCACTGTTATTTTAACATTACGGATAGAAATAATTCGGTGACTTACTCTGAGGATGGTAGAATTACCCGACACTTAAAAATACCTCACGGCTTTTACAGTACCGTGCAGGAAGTTCTTGATACCATCAGTGGAAATTTTATTGAAACAGCAAGATCAAGTATAGGTTTATCTATAGATAAAAAATCTAGAAAAGTTTCAGTTAGATTAAGGACCGGAGCATTCATATTGTTTAACGGCGATTTGTACAAATTACTTGGATTACCACGCAAGTCGTGTTTTGAAAGCATTGTGGGGACTCTACCATCCGATGTTTACTTGGGAGTGTACGGCCTTTACGTGTACAGCGACGTTGTAGAACCACAATATGTAGGCGATGCCAATGTCCCCCTGATGAAGATAATCCCACTCAAGACAGGTAGTAAAACTGCGGGGGAAATGATTTCGACGTCGTACAGCATACCCCATTACATTCCAGTTAAAACAAAACATTTTGAAACGATAAATATCAATATAAGAGACGACACCGGGAGAAAGTTTGCATTTGAACGAGGAAAGGTGGTCGTGAAGTTACATTTTCGCCAGGTTCGCCCGTCCTTATTTCAGTAAACATGACGGCGTACGAACAGTATTACAAATCTCAAGCTGGAGGTGGACAATATTTCAAAGGAGCGCAGGTGCAGAGGGGGTATGGCCTAGGCGGAATTCTGTCGGGGCTATTTCGATCGGCTCTTCCAGTCATTACCAAGGGGGCCAAGACTATTGGAAAACAAGCCCTACAGACGGGTCTGCAAATGGCGAGCAATGCCCTCAATGGTCACACTACCGGCACCCCGAAAAAAAACCCACCAGGCAGAGTAAGCAAGAAACCTATAAAGAGGAAAGGCCGTGGCCGACCTGCCACTTCATCCAGTAGAAAGCGTCCGAAGAGGACACTTGACATATTCGATTCCTAATCATCATCATCATCATCATCATCATCATGGCGTTCGTTCATAAGAATTCTTCAGAGTGCACAAAATCCGAGGTTGATCTGTTCTCGGTACCTACCACACAGACCAGCGTCACCAAGGGACAGTGGGTACAATATCAACCATTGACAAACATCGTGGACTCGGGCCCCATTGAATTTTTAATCAATGGTTCCAGCGAGACTTACTTGGATTTAGCGCAAACAATGCTCCACGTCCAAGCTAAAATCGTTGACGGTAATGGGGCCGCTTTAGCCCCCGATGTACCAGTCGCACCTATTAACCTAACAATGCAGTCGCTCTTCTCTGAAGTGGACGTGTCCTTAAATGACCGAGTTATCACACCCTCTACCAACACATATCCGTACAGGGCCATGCTGGAAACGCTCTTGAGTTATGGGCCCGCGGCCAAAAACTCACATCTGACGTCGGGGCTTTTTTACAAAGACACCGCGGGAAAAATGGATGTATCGGATCCGACGATCGACGATGCTGCCAATCGAAATGAAGGATTAAAACAGAGGTTTTCGCACGTAAAAGGAAGCAAGATGATTGATTTAATAGGACCCATACACGCAGATATATTTTTTCAAGATAGACTTTTGTTAAACGGCGTTAACATGAAAATAAAATTACATCGGAGTAAGGATGCTTTTTGTTTAATGTCTTCGACACAGGGGGCCGATTACAAAGTGCACATAGTAAATTCTACCCTGTACATACGGCGAGTTAATGTCAACCCCATGATAGCGCTAGCCCATGCAAAAACGCTGGAACAGGCAACGGCAAAGTATCCGTTACGCCGTGTGGAAGTCAAAACCTTTTCCATTCCTCAGGGTAACCAATCGTTTACGAGGGAGAGAATGTTCCTTGGCCAAACTCCCACGCGCATTGTTATCGGATGTGTAAATAATATGGCTTTCAATAGGGATTACGTTAAGAATCCGTATAATTTTCAACATTTTAATTTAAACTTTTTAGCTCTATACATTGACGGGGAGCAATTACCATGGAAACCACTCAAACCTAAATTTGTCGGACCTGATAGTAATTTTCTCATGGCTTATCAGACATTATTTTCGGGTATAAATAACCTTCACCAGAACTCGGGGAACGACATTTCCAGATCTGATTATTCAAAAGGGTACACGCTGTTTGCATTTGACTTAACTCCCGACCTTTGTACGGGCGGACATTTTAATCTGTTACGAAGCGGTAACGTGCGCTTGGAGATAGCCTTCAGGGATCCCCTAGCTAGTACCGTAAATGTAATTGTGTATGCGGAGTACGATTCACTTCTGGAAATTGACAAATCCCGTAATATATTGATTGATTATTCGTCATGAATACAAAACAATTACTACGTGTTCTAAAGACCGATAAAATAACGCACCAACAGTGCGGCGGGGTTTTTCCAGTAGATAAATTACCGGGAAAAGTTACAAGCTTTCCTCAAGTGTACATCGTGAATACGGACAAGAGTACTCAACCCGGAAGTCATTGGATCGCCGTTTATTTTGACGGAGATAAAAAAGCAGAACTGTTTGATTCTTATGGTAATTCTCCGCATATGTACAATAAATGTTTAATGCGTTTTATAAAAAAGAATTCTGTTGAGTTCATGTATAACGACATTTGTCTTCAATCTCTCAACACTACGGTATGCGGACAATATTGCTTGTTTTATGCATTACATCGTTGTAGGAACGTAGAAATGAAGACCATTTTAAGAATGTTTACGAGGGATACTCATTTTAACGACACATTCGTACATCACTTTGTAGAATCCCGTTACAATATTTCTATTCCCGTTTCCGATGTTGATTTTATCGTAAATCAAATTGTAAAAAGTTTTTAAAATGTGCCGTAGTTTTTTGGTTTTTATTAGTATGACTTTTATTTTGTATTAAAGTGTGAGCGTTTGGTGTGAAAGTAATAATAAAAATAACATTTAAAAAAAAAAAAAAAAAAAAAAAAAATACACAAAAAGACAAAACAAAACAAAAAATAAATGAATTAGTTAGCCATAAAACTGTATTAACTTCTTTTATTCATGCAATGTATTTATTTGTCGATGCATGTGTACAATTCAATTAAAAAAAGAAAGAAAATATAAACATTATACATTGAATTACAATTTGTTATTTTGTTTTTTGTTACATTGACTCCCATACCAGTCGTTTTTTAGGTTTCTGCGTAGAAAAGGACGGTGTGACCCTCGTTCTTTTTTTACGTTTTGGAAATTCCGC